CGCACGCGCAGAAACTCCTCCGCGCGCACGACGAGCCCATCAGCGCGCTGGCCACGTCCGTCGACGGGTCGCTGCTCGCGTCGGGCCAGGTCGGGTCGACGCACATCCCGGGCTTCGCCGCGCCCGTCGTCGTCTGGGACCGCGTGTCGGAGCGCGCGCTCTTCAAACTGCGGGGCATCACGCAGCGCGTGAACATTTTGGAGTTCAGCGACGACATGCGCTTCCTCGCGGCCTGCGGCGAGGACTGCGTGCTCTACGTCTGGGACGCGACGAGCGGCGAGGTCGTCTTCGGCAAGCGCTACGCGAAGCGGCTCAGCCTCTTCCAGTGGATCGGCGCGATGGACCGGGGCCGCCGCCGCGTCTACCGCCTCGCGACGGCGGTGACGGGCGTCGCCGAGGTCGAGCACGGCGAGCTCAGCTTCGACGCGACGCGCCAGCAGTGGCAGCTCGCGTCCGCGCCCGTCGTCATGCCCGCCGCGGGCATGGCGCGCGAGTACAAGTGCTCCGCGCTCGCGACGTACCCGTCGCCCGACGGCGGCGAGCCGGAGAAGTACCTCCTCGCGGGGACCATGGAGGGCGACCTGCTCGTCATGCGCCTCGCGGCGCCCGCGCGCGACGACCCGACGCTCGACACCGCGCGGTCCAGTGTGGAAACCAACCACTGGTTCAGGGGGTCCTGACCAAACTTCAAACCTCTCTATCTCGGTCAAACCGAAGTCGATTCGGCTGATTTTTGGACGAATCGATTCCTCTTCTCGAGTTCTCGAGGCACAGCCGAAGATATTGCGTCGAAATGTTCGCATACGCTAACATTGAAGTCGGGTTGAAGATTTGGTTTCCACACAGGCGCGGTCCGGCGGCGTCTACCGCGCGTCCGTGCCCATCTGCACGGGCGGCCTCCTGGCCCTCGCGCTCAAGCCCGGCGGCGGCGCCGACGGCCGGCCGGCGGTCTTCGCCGGGGGCGGCGACGGCGTCGTGCGGCGCGTCGACGGCTACGACATGCGCTGGCGGCTCACGGACGAGGCCGCCGTCGACGGCGCGGTCGTCGCGATGTCGTTCGTCGACGGCGGCGACGAGCTGCTCGTGGGCACGGACAGCGGGCGCACCTACCGCCTCCTGGCGGGCGATTTAGGCCAGCCCGCGAGCCCGCTCACGGTGTCGCACGTCGGCGTCCCGCGCGACGTCGCCTTCGGGGCTCGAGCGGACGTCTTCGCGTCGTGCGCGTCCGACGGGGAGGTCGTCGTCTGGGACCTGTCGACCTACGACGCCATCGCGACGACGAAGCGGGCCTGCGCCGCGCCCAAGGGGCGGCCGGCCGACGCGGCGGAGCGGCCGCGGCGCGTCGCGCAATTCGGAGACGGCGCGACGTGTTTGGCGTGGGTCACGGACGTCGCGGTCGTCGCGGGCTACGGCGACTGCCACGTGCGCTGCTTCTCCGCCGCCGACGGGGCGCTGGAGTGGGCCATCCCGACGGCGCACCGCCGGCCCGTGTCGGCCATCGCGTGCCACGTGGAGCAGAAACTGGCGTACCTCGTGACGGGCTCCGAGGACGGGTCCGTCCGCGTCTGGAACCTGTCGACGCGCGAGGTCATGATGCAGTTCGCCGAGCACCACAAGGGCGTCACGGGCCTGGTGGTGGACGCGGCGGACCCGCGGCTCTTCCACTCGGGGGGGCTCGACTGCGCGGTCTTCACGCACGACCTCCGGTCCGAGAAGCGCACGGTGTCGCACATGATGCGCGAGGGCGCCTTCACGGGCCTGAGCCAGCGCAAGGACAGCGAGCGCGAGCTCATCACCTGCGACGCCAACGGCCGCGTCCTCTTCTGGGACTGCGACGTGCCCGAGCCCATTCTGGGGGTGTCGGTGGACGGCACGACCGTCGCCTGCGTCGCCGTGAGCCCCTCGGGCCGCTACTTCGTCCTCTGCCGCGACGAGATGCTCACGATCTTCGAGCTCGACGCAAACTCGGCGACGGCGCACCCGAAGCCCATCGCCGAGGGCTGGGCCCACAGCGCCAACGTCACCAAGGTCCAGTGGAGCCCGGACGAGCGCCAGCTCGTCTCCATCGGCGCAGATTCTTGCATCTGCATCTGGAACTTCTTCGGCACCTCCGACTAGGGGAATCCCGCGCCGCGACGCGCGCGCCGCCCTCAACGGCGAGGCTTCTTAGAGAGGGTAAGATTTTGAGCGATTTTGCCCTTGCCGCCTTGAGGTCGAGACGAGAGACGAGTACGAGCTCAAGTGAAGTCGCCGCGTAGTCATGTCGTGGCAGGAGAAGAAGTTGGAGTATGAGAATCGCATGGCCCGAGCGAGGGGCAAAAAACTCGACACCCTCAAGACCTGCACGATCTGCGGCGCCGACAAGGCCAAGGCGTGCCGAGGTTGCGGCACGACGGCCTACTGTTCGACGGACTGCCAACGCATCGACTGGCGCGATCGGGGCCACCGGAAGGTCTGCAAGAAAATCCAGGCCGCGGAGGCGGCGCGGGCCGAGGCGCCGACGCCCCCGCCGTCGCCGCCGCGGGACGTGTTCTACGGCCCCGCGCCGCGTTCGCACGCCGACGAGATCCGCGCGCGCATCGCCGCGGAGCACGAGGCGGCTCGTGCCCTGCGGGAGGCGAACCCGGAGCGGGAGCCGCTGTCGGCGCGGTGGGGCTCGCGGTGCCCGATCTGTCTCGAGGAGTGGGACGTGAATGCGAACACCGGGCTTCGCGTCTGTTGCTGCCGAAAGGTCTGCCAATCGTGCAACGACAAGATCGGCTTCAGCGCGTGTCCCCTCTGTCGTATACCGTGCCCAACGACCAATGCGGAAGCACTCGCGCAAATTCGCCGCCACGTGGAGAACGAGGTGCCGGAAGCGATTACGCATTTGGGAAATGTGTACCGTGTCGGTCAGTTGGGCCTTGTGAAATCCGATAAGAAAGCCGCGAAGATTTACCGGCGCGCCGTGGAACTCGGCAACGTGGACGCGATGACATTTCTGGGGGACATGTACGACGAGGGTTTGGGCGTCAAGCTGGACAAGAAGAAGGCGGAGGAGCTGTATCGCACGGCCGCAGATCGGGGCCACGCAGTCGCGCAATGCAATTTGGCGTTTGTACTTGGTTCTCAGAAAAAAAAAGAGGAAGCGTTCCGGTACTGCGCGCTCGCGGCGGATCAAGGCTATACCTTTGCAGAGAACAACCTTGGCTGCTGTTACAGGGACGGAGCAGGCACGGAAGTCGACCTTGGCAAAGCCAGGTACTGGTTCGAGCGCGCCGCTGCCAAGGGCGACGAGACAGCTACAAGGAACCTCGCGGCCCTCGACGCGCAAGCATAGCCTAATTCTTTACGCCTTTCCATCGCCCAAGCCCGAGATGCTGCGCTTGCGCGCGGGCGAGTCGCGCTTGGCCTTGGCGTCGTCGTCACGGCGTTCCACTCCGCGCCGACCTTCGCGGTCTGGTGCCTGGCGTAACACGAAGCCCGCCTGGCGCGAGGACGACGACGCCGAGGGGGACATGGAGAACGACGTGAACGCGATGCTGCAGGGGTCGGCTTAGCCCTGGGTAAGATTTTGAGCGATTTTGCTTAGCCGCGGCGCAGGGAAGGACCGAAGGGGGAGAGAACAGCGAAGGGGGGCGTAGGGAAGCGTCACGGGAGGACACGACTAGGGCGGAGGCGTACGCGAGCACGGCGACGAAGAGGGCACGACGACGTAGGGCGGCTACTGCTCGTAGGCGACGCCGAAGGTCCCGCCGGTGCCGCGGGCCGCGCGGGCGTGAGCGATTTTGCCTTTGCGATCGGCCGAGGAGCCTGAGCACGACGCAAGGACGCGCGATCTGAGATCATGGACCCGGAATTGATCAAGAAGAAGCGAGAGTACGAGGCGCGAAAAACCCGTACGAAGCTGGCGCTCAACATATGCACGATTTGCGGGAAGAAGGATGCCCGGCCCTGTAAAGGTTGCGGCACGACGGCCTACTGTTCGACGGACTGCCAACGCATCGACTGGCGCGATCGGGGCCACCGGAAGGTCTGCAAGAAGATCCAGGCCGCGGAGGCGGCGCGGGCCGAGGCGCCGACGCCCCCGCCGTCGCCGCCGCGCGAGGTGCTCTACGGCCCCGCGCCGCGGTCGCACGCCGACGAGGTCCGCGCGCGCATCGCGGCGGAGCACGAGGCGGCCCGCGTGCGACGCGAGGCGAACCCGGAGCGGGAGCCGACGTCGGCACGGCTCGGGTCGCGGTGCCCGATCTGTCTCGAGGAGTGGGACGTGAATGTGAGGAACGTCTTTCGCGTCTGCTGCTGCCGGACGGTCTGCGAGTCGTGCGAGGGCAAGATCGGCACCGACGCGTGTCCCCTCTGTCGGTTACCGTGCCCAAATGATCCCGCGGAACAGCTTGCGCAACTTCGCCGCCATGTGGAGAACGAGGTGCCGGAAGCGATTACGCATTTGGGAAGTGTGTACCGCGAAGGTTTGTTCGGCCTCGTGAAATCCGATAAGAAAGCCGCGAAGATTTGGAAGCGCGCCGTGGAGCTCAGAGATGTGCGGGCGATGGTATTTCTTGGTTCACTTTACGAGCATGGAAGTGGCGTCAAGCTGGACAAGAAGAAGGCGGAGCGGCTGTATCGCGCGGCCGCAGATCGGGGCCACGCGGTCGCGCAATTCAATGTAGGGATTTTACTTTTTTCTGAGGAGAAATTTGAAGAAGCGTTCCGGTACTACGCGCTCTCGGCGGATCAAGGCTATACCGCTGGAGAGAATAACCTTGGCTGCTGTTACTACTGTGGAAAAGGCACGGAAGTCGACCTCGGCAAGGCCAGATACTGGCTCGAGCGCGCCGCTGCCAAGGGCTACCAGCATGCTATAAACGCCCTCGAGGAACTCAACGCGCGAGTATAGCCTAATTCCTTACGCCGCGTCGTCGCCCGAGCCCGAGATGCTGCGCTTTCGCGCGGGCGAGTCGCGCTTGGCCTCGGCGTCGTCGTCGCCGCGTTCCTCTCCGCGCCGACCTTCGCGGTCTGGACTCTGGCGTTCTTGGATGCGAAGCCTGCCCGGCGCAAGGACGACGACGCCGAGGGGTGCATGGAGAACGACATGAGCGCGACGCTCTCGGGGTGGGCTTAGCCCTGGGGTAAGATTTTGAGCGATTTTGCCTTTGCGATCGGCCGAGGGGCCTGAGGAGCGACGCAAGGACGCGCGCGGGCAGAGGCCATGGACCCGGAACTGATCAAGAAGAAGCGAGAGTACGAGGCGCGAAAAACTCGTACAAAGCTGGCGCTCAACCTATGCACGATTTGCGGGAAGAAGGATGCCCGGCCCTGTAAAGGTTGCGGCACGACGGCCTACTGTTCGACGGACTGCCAACGCATCGACTGGCGCGACCGGGGCCACCGGAAGGTCTGCAAGAAGATTCGAGCCGAGCGCGCGGCGGAGGCGGCCCGGGCCGAAGCGCCGACGCCCCCGCCGTCGCCGCCGCGGGACGTGTTCTACGGCCCCGCGCCGCGGTCGCACGCCGACGAGGTCCGCGCTCGCATCGCGGCGGAACACGAGGCGGCTCGTGCGCGGCGCGAGGCGAACCCGGAGCGGGAGCCGCTGTCGGCGCGGTGGGGATCGCGGTGCCCGATCTGTCTCGAGGAGTGGGACGTGAATACTCCGGGCGTGTTTCGTTCCTGTTGCTGCCGAAAGGTCTGCAAGTCTTGCAACGACAAGATCGGACTCGAGGCGTGTCCCCTCTGTCGGATACCGTGCCCAAATGACGATGCGGAGCAGCTCGCGCAGCTTCGCCGCCATGTGGAGAACGAGGTGCCGGAAGCGATTTCGCATTTGGGAATTGCGTACCGCTGCGGTCGTTACGGTCTCGTGAAATCTGACAAGCCAGCCGCGAAAATTTGGAAGCGCGCCGTGGAGCTTGGGAACGTGGACGCGATGAGACACCTTGGGGCAATGTACGAGCATGGAAGTGGCGTCAAACTGGACAAGAAGAAGGCGGAGCGGCTGTATCGCGCGGCCGCAGATCGGGGCCACGCAGTCGCGCAATGCAATTTAGGGATTTTCCTTGATTCTGAGAAGAAGTTTGAAGAAGCGGTCCGGTACTTCGCGCTCGCGGCGGATCAAGGCTATACCGATGCGGAGCAAAACCTTGGCTGCTGTTACATGGGCGGAGAAGGCACGGAAGTCGACCTCGGCAAAGCCAGATACTGGTTCGAGCGCGCCGCTGCCAAGGGCCACGAGAAAGCTATACAGGCCCTCGCGCGCCTTGACGCGCGCGTATAGCCTAACTCCTCACCCCGCGTCGTCGCCCGAGCCCGGGATGCTGCGCTTGCGCGCGGGCGAGTCGTGCTTGGCCTTGGCGTCGTCGCCGCCGCGTTCCTCTCCGCGCCGACTTTGGGGTTGTGGTGGCTCGCGTTCCTGAACGCGAAGCCCGCCTGGCGCCAGGACGACGATGCCGCCGAGGGGGGCTTGGAGAACGACATGAGCGCAACGCTCTAGGGGTGGGCTTAGGCCTGGCGTAAGATTTTGAGCGATTTTGCCTTTGCGATCGGCCGAGGAGCCTGAGGAGCGAGGACGCGCGCGGTCAGATCATGGACCCGGAATTGATCAAGAAGAAGCGAGAGTACGAGGCGCGAAAAACCCGTACGAAGCTGGCGCTCAACATATGCACGATTTGCGGGAAGAAGGATGCCCGGCCCTGTAAAGGGTGCGGCACGACGGCCTACTGTTCGACGGACTGCCAACGCATCGACTGGCGCGACCGGGGCCACCGGAAGGTATGTAAAGAGATAGCCGCGCGGGCGGAAGCGCCGACGCCCCCGCCGTCGCCGCCGCGGGACGTGTTCTACGGCCCCGCGCCGCGTTCGCACGCCGACGAGGTCCGCGCTCGCATCGCGGCGGAACACGAGGCCGCTCGCGCGCGGCGCGAGGCGAACCCGGAGCGGGAGCCGCTGTCGGCGCGGTTTGGAGGGCGGTGCCCGATCTGTCTCGAGGAGTGGGACGTGAATGTTCCGGGCGTGCTTCGCGTCTGTTGCTGCCGAAAGGTCTGCCAATCGTGCGGTGACAAGATCTTCGACTCCGACGCGTGTGCCCTCTGTCGATTGCCGTGCCCAAAAAGCAATGCGGAAGAACTCGCGCGTCTTCGCCGCCATGTGGAGAACGAGGTGCCGGAAGCAATTACGTGTTTGGGAAGTGCGTACCGCAAAGGTTGGTTGGACCTCGTGATATCCGATAAGAAAGCCGCGAAGCTTTTCAAGCGCGCCGCGGAACTTGGGAGCGTGGAAGCGATGGGTTACCTTGCGGAATTGTACGAGACTGGAAGTGGCGTCAAACTGGACAAGAAGAAGGCGGAGCGGCTGTTTCGAATGGCCGCAGATCGGGGCGACGCGGGCGCGCAATCCAATTTAGGGATTTTACTTGCGTCTGAAGAGAAATTTGAAGAAACGTTCCGGTACTTCGCGCTCGCGGCGGATCAAGGCTGGACCAATGCGGAGAATAACCTTGGCATTTGTTACAGGGACGGAGACGGCACGGAAGTCGACCTCGGCAAAGCCAGATACTGGTTCGAGCGCGCCGCTGCCAAGGGCAACGAGGATGCGAGGAAGAACCTCGCGCGCCTCGACGCGCGAGTATAGCTTAATTTATCTTTACGCCGCGTCGTCGCCCGAGCCCGGGATGCTGCGCTTGCGCGCGGGCGAGTCGTGCTTGGCCTCGGCGTCGTCGCCGCCGCGTTCCTCTCCGCGCCGACCTTCGCGGTCTGGTGCCTCGCGTTTCTGAACGCGAAGCCCGCCTGGCGCAAGGACGACGACGTCGCCGAGGGGGGCATGGAGAACGACATGAGCGCGGTGCTCTAAGGGTGGGCTTAGGCCTGGGATGATTTGAGCGATTTTGCCGGGGAGCGTCGGACATCGTCGGCGACGATCGAGCGTCGAGAGCATGGACCCGGAACTGATCAAGAAGAAGCGAGAGTACGAGGCGCGAAAAACTCGTACAAAGCTGGCGCTCAACATATGCACGATTTGCGGGAAGAAGGATGCCCGGCCCTGTAAAGGTTGCGGCACGACGGCCTACTGTTCGACGGACTGCCAACGCATCGACTGGCGCGACCGGGGCCACCGGAAGGTCTGCAAGAAGATCCAAGCCGCGGAGGCGGCGCGGGCCGAGGCGCCGACGCCCCCGCCGTCGCCGCCGCGGGACGTGTTCTACGGACCCGCGCCGCGTTCGCACGCCGACGAGGTCCGCGCGCGCATCGCGGCGGAACACGAGGCGGCCCGCGTGCGACGCGAGGCGAACCCGGAGCCCGAGCCGCTCTCGGCGCGGTACGGGTCGCGGTGCCCGATCTGTTTCGGGGACTGGGACGTGAATGCGTCGGGCGTGTTTCGCGACTGTTGCTGCCGAAAGGTCTGCCAATCGTGCGAGGACAAGATCGGCACCGACGCGTGTCCCCTCTGTCGCATGCCGTGCGTTAAAAACCAGGCGGAGCTGCTCGCGCGTCTTCGCCGCCATGTGGAGAACGAGGTGCCGGAAGCGATTACGTATTTGGGAGACGCGTACAGCCGCGGTTGGTTCTGCCTCGTGAAATCCGATAAGAAAGCCGCGAAGATTTACCGGCGCGCCGTGGAGCTCGGAAATGTGGACGCGATGCTCAAACTTGGGTTCTTGTACGAGAATGGGAGTGGCGTCAAACTGGACAAGAAGAAGGCGGAGCGGCTGTATCGCATGGGCGCGGACCGGGGCGACGCGGTCGCGCAAAACAATGTGGCGTTTTTACTTGTTTCTGAGAAGAAATTTGAAGAAGCGTTCCGGTACTTTGTGCTCGCGGCGGATCAAGGCCTTACCTCTGCAGAGAACAACCTTGGCATGTGCTACAGGCGCGGAGAAGGCACAGAAGTCGACCTCGGCAAAGCCAGATACTGGTTTGCGCGCGCCGCTGCCAAGGGCCACGAGGAAGCTATAAAGTCCCTCGCGTACCTCAACGCGCGACCATAGCCTAACAATCTTTACGCCGCGTCGTCGCCCGAGCCCGGGATGCTAGGCACGGAAGTCGACCTCGGCAAAGCCAGATACTGGCTCGAGCGCGCCGCTGCCAAGGGCCATGAGGATGCCATAAGGGTCCTCGGCGACCTCGACGCGCAAATATAGCCTAAGTCTTTACGCCGCGTCCCCACCCGAGCCCGGGATGCTGCGCTTGCGCGCGGGCGAGTCGTGATTGGCCTTGGCGTCGTCGTCGCCGCGTTCCTCTCCGCGCCGACTGTCGCGGTGTGGTGCCTCGCGTTCTTGAACGCGAAGCCCACCTGGCGCAAGGCTGACGACGTCGCCGAGGGGGGCATGGAGAACGACATGAGCGCGATGCTCTACGGTGGGCTGAGGCCCGGGCTAAGATTTTGAGCGATTTTGCCTTTGCGATCGGCCGAGGGGCCTGAGGAGCGACGCAAGGACGCGCGCAGTCACAGATCATGGACCCGGAACTGATCAAAAAGAAGCGAGAGTACGAGGCGCGAAAAACTCGTACAAAGCTGGCGCTCAACATATGCACGATTTGCGGGAAGAAGGATGCCCGGCCCTGTAAAGGGTGCGGCACGACGGCCTACTGTTCGACGGACTGCCAACGCATCGACTGGCGCGACCGGGGCCACCGGAAGGTATGTAAAGAGATAGCCGCGCGGGCGGAAGCGCCGACGCCCCCGCCGTCGCCACCGCGGGACGTGTTCTACGGCCCCGCGCCGCGGTCGCACGCCGACGAGGTCCGCGCGCGCATCGCGGCGGAACACGAAGCCGCCCGCGTGCGGCGCGAGGCGAACCCGGAGCCCGAGCCGACGTCGGCGCGGTACGGGTCGCGGTGCCCGATCTGTCTCGAGGAGTGGGACGTGAATGCGAACACCGGGCTTCGCGTCTGTTGCTGCCGAAAGGTCTGCCAATCGTGCAACGAGAAGATCGGCGTCAGCGCGTGTCCCCTCTGTCGTATACCGTGCCCAAAGAGTAATGCGGAAGCACTCGCGCAAATTCGCCGCCATGTGGAGAACGAGGTGCCCGAAGCGATTACGTTTTTGGGAAGTGCGTACCGCCGCGGTTTGTACGGTCTCGTGAAATCCGATAAGAAAGCCGCGAAGATTTACCGGCGCGCCGTGGAGCTCGGCAATGTGAACGCGATGGTACGACTTGGGTATTCTTACGCGACTGGAAGTGGCGTCAAGCTGGACAAGAAGAAGGCGGAGCGGCTGTATCGGGCGGCCGCAGATCGGGGCGACGCGACCGCGCAAGTCAATTTAGGGATTTTCCTTCGTTCTGAGAAGAAATTTGAAGAGGCATTCCGGTACTACGCGCTCGCGGCGGATCAAGGCTATACCGATGCGGAGCATAGCCTTGGCTGTTGTTACAGGAACGGACAAGGCACGGAAGTCGACCTCGGCAAAGCCAGGTACTGGCTCGAGCGCGCCGCTGCCAAGGGCGACGAGTTAGCTATAGAGAACCTCGCGCGCCTCGACGCGCAAGTATAGCCTAAGTCTTCACGCCGCGTCGTCGCCCGAGCCCGAGATGCTGCGCTTGCGCGCGGGCGAGTCGTGCTTGTCCTTCGCGCCGTCGTCGCGGCGTTCCTCCCCGCGCCGACCTTCGCGGTCTGGATTCTGGCGTTCTTGAACGCGATGCCCGCCTGGCGCGGGGCCGACGCCGCCGCCAAGGGCGGCATGGAGAACGACATGAACGCGATGCTCTAGGGGTGGGCTTAGGCCTGGGCTAAGATTTTGAGCGATTTTGCCCTTCGCCAAGGTGAGGAGAGCCAAAACTGTCGCCCGCGCGCCGCCGCGCAAACGATCATGAAGGCCGAGTACGTCGAGAAGCAGCGCGAATACGAAGAGAAGAAGGCGCGGGCGAAAGCGCTACAGCTGCGTTTGACGTGCACGATTTGTGGGGCGAAACCGAGAACCTTGCTGAACTGCCCTTGCGGAACTACGCAGTATTGTTCGACTGAATGCCAACGCATCGACTGGCGGGACCGGGGTCACCGAAAGGCGTGCAAGAAGATCCGAAGCGAGCGCGCGGCGGAGGCGGCGCGGGCCGAGGCGCCGACGCCCCCGCCGTCGCCGCCGCGCGACGTGGTCTACGGCCCCGCGCCTCGGTCGCACGCCGACGAGGTCCGCGCGCGCATCGCGGCGGAACACGAGGCGGCCCGCGTGCGGCGGGAGGCGAACCCGGAGCGGGAGCCGCTGTCGGCACGGCTCGGGTCGCGGTGCCCGATTTGCCTCGAGGAGTGGGACGTGAATGCGTCGAACGTGGTTCGCGTCTGTTGCTGCCGGATGGTCTGCCAATCGTGCGATGACAAGATCGGAAACGAGTGTCCACTGTGTCGTGTACCGTGCGCAAAAAGCAATGCGGAAGCACTCGCGCAACTTCGCCGCCATGTGGAGAACGAGGTGCCGGAAGCAATTTCGTTTTTGGGAGACGCGTACCGCCGCGGTCTCTACGGCCTCGTGGAATCCGACAAGAAAGCCGCGAAGATTTATCGGCGCGCCGTGGAGCTCGGGAACGTGGACGCAATGAATAATCTTGGGCTCTTCTACAATAATGGGTTCGGCGTCAAGCTGGACAAGAAGAAGGCGGAGCGGCTGTTTCGCACGGCCGCGGACCGGGGCGACGCGGCCGCGCAAACCAGTTTAGGGTTTTTACTCGATACTGAGGAGAAACATGAAGAAGCGTTCCGGTGTTACGTGCTCGCGGCGGATCAAGGCTATACCACTGGAGAGCTCAACCTTGGCATTTGCTACGAGCAAGGAGAAGGCACGGAAGTCGACCTCGGCAAAGCCAGATACTGGTTCGAGCGTGCCGCTGCCAAGGGTCACGAGGCAGCTATAGAGGCCCTCGCGGACCTCGACGCGCAAGTATAGCCTAAGTCTTCACGCCGTCGCCGTCGCCCGAGATGCTGCGCTTGCGCACGGGCGAGTCGTGCTTGGA